GGTTACAGGCGAACAGTCTAGACGAAGCCGAGTATACTACTACGATATAGATCTACAGAAGTTTCGCCAGTGGTTCATAATCTCATTCTAGCGAAAAATCCATGCTTCTTTCAGTTTCAAGTATTGCAGAGATGCCTCTGCACCATTTTCTACAGCAACGGTCTAAGTTGTGGGAACTCTATTCACGATGACCTCTTGCCAATAGAATAAACTCGTTCGAAAATCAGATTTTTGCAAATTATTAAGTGTAGTGAGTAGCATTCAAGTTCTGATTAAGGACAAAACATTTTGTTTGAATAGGCTACCGTAACCAATGTGTGTTCCAACTCACTGCGGACGGTCTGCCAGCCGTGAGCGGAGATGTACTTGCGTCGCACTATAGGTGTTGAGAAAGAATCTATCACGCTTATTGACGAATATCCTAGTCATGATAAGGGATATGTGTAATTGGCCCGTTCAGTTTGCTTGTTTCACATGATGTGCGGGCTCTTCACGAAAATTTTCCTATGGCGTCTGTCAAAAGCATGAATGAACGTCAAAAGAAAGTGCAAACCCATCCATTCTGCTGATGTGGCTCTTCATGATGGCACCGACTAGAACCCAACGGCGCACCACTCTAATAAAGTATCTTCACTGGGCGATTGATTGCCTTTTTGCAGGACGGTTGTTAATAAACTAATTAACCGCTGATAATAGCTTATTTTCCGTTGACAATCCATCCTGCTATAGTAGGCATAGTAAGCTGGCACAAAGTGGGATAGCACTTTTATACTCAAATTCTGTTCAATTTTGGTGGTGATAATCAATGTACATTCTTTCTTTCGTTTAGTAACTGAGAATGTTGGGAAGCCCTGGTCACTATCTCCACCCATCAGCTGGGCTAATTAAGTATTCTGATGAATAAGAATCAGTACTGTCTTCCATTGAATAAAAGGATCTATAGAGCTTTCAGCATTGATCAATCCTTAAGAGATGCTCCATGCATTCGACTTCATTAAGCATCGTTTGGAGGTGATTGAATGCATATTTGGCCTTTACAATGACTCGCGGTGGCCTACCGATGTATCGAGCCAGTGCTGTTATCTAAGCAGACAAGTCTGGTACTAATTTGCCGAACCCGGATGGATGGGAAGGCTTGGTGGGCAATGGGCATGGGGTCGATTCCACATGTGTGTTGAAGGGCGCCTCCAACCACTGCGCTACACGTGCCAGCCCTGTAGATGAGCTTTGGATAAATCTCTTGCAGTGAATATGTACCAACTGTTACCATCATGACAGCCGCTGTATGCGCTGCTGAAATTTGGAAGTGACGACATTATCCAGGAATAGCGCCAGAGCAGGAGTATGCTCTATGACGGTGGTTAAATACACTTTACACAGAAGATCATCCGACAGGGTATTATGTCTGACAACTATAATGATGCTGAGATATTTGCAAAACTCCGGACCGCAGGTGTCTGCGGTGGGGAAGGAACACGCTATCACCCTTTCTGGCGGCTAACCCGTTCACCACCACACTATGCGGGTCCTTCGTTTCGCCTGTTTCTCAGCTAGTTGTCTACCGATCAGTGCCATCAGCAATAACCCATCAACGGTATTGATCTGGGGAGCCCAAATCGAATCTCAACTGACATCTGACACTTCTGAACTGGGTTTGAAAGCATTATCCTATCAGATATCATCTCTGGACTTTGGTTTTTCTATCTGCTTTAGTTCGTCGGTAATTGCTTGTGGAACGTCGTCCATCAAATGCATCCTGAAGGATTCATCGACTTCTTTTGCGCTTTGCAATCACGAAAGCTCGAGATATTGGAGGTATCGACGCGCTGCCATTTGTTGGAAGTACGTCAGAGATTTTAATGTGCAATATTTGTAGTGCAGAAGAGCACCGTATTTCAATAAAGCTCTAGTTCTGTAAGGAAATTTTCGATATCACCGATATTGTGGGAAAGTACGCTCACAGAATATCCATTTATTTTATCCAACAATTACGATTCTTTTCGAGAATTGGAACGAGTATTAAACAAACTAAACGTCATGAACTTAAGTTTCCAGGATTTTTTAAGTTTTATGCATTACAAAAGGATCTGCAATTAGCTGATTAGTAGCCGAGAGCAAGGCTTGTCTGGCCAAAAACGTGGGTATCGAGCAAGAGACCATGCTCGCGTGAGCTACGTGATTATCACACTACAAGTTTTCTTGCTAACAATCCCCTAAAAAACCAGCTTGAGCCAGGTTGTATTGCAGATCAGAATGAAATTTAAGGTGATTTCATGTTAGAGCATAGCGAAAAGGTTAAATTCGCTCTGCAGAAGGGCTACCAAAATGGAAACATGAATGGGGCAGGATAACAAATTCACGCTGGTTTACTGTCTAAATTGACTTTTTGGTCCACATCTGTGGTTGGTCCTTTTTTGACATAGACTCAGATGCATGAAATCCAGATAAAGAATAAAACGATAAGTTGTTCGGAGTTGGTCAATCCCTGTGGAATCCGCTATGCATCCGTCTTCATTGAACATCGTTACAGGTGAATGAATGCATATCTTGCCCATGCAATAACTTGCGGTAGACTATCGATGTATTGAGTCGAGTCAGTTTAGCTATCCTTCCAGACAAGTTTGGTGCCAATTTATCGATCCCAGAGGCATGAAGAGGTTGACAAGCCCAAGACACGGGTAGACCGAGCAACGACCATATGTGTTGCACATTGCACCTCAAACCACTGCGCTGTATGCTCCCCGAAACTCAGATAGATCCGAAAAACAGATTTCCTCGGTGATGAAAGCTGTGTTATCGTGCACGACTGAGTAGTACATGATTATGTTACAGCTTTTAAATCCTGGCTGGTACTTTTTACTTAAAAGTCTGTTCCACTGTGTTTTCCGCGCTCTAAAAAGCAAGCACAAAATCTCTAATTTTAAATTTGATGAGAATCTTCACTTAAAGAGAAAGACTACATAAATTTTCTGGAAAACTTTCACTTATTTAGGAGTTTTCTTTTATGCGTAAATCTAGCAATGAGTACAAATCAGTTCAGGACTATTCATGGGATTAGAGTGTGTGAGAGTTTGCGTCCTGGTAAGCAACAGTTCGGTTATGATAAAGGACTCGACCGACGTATTAGATATCGGAACTGGACGTCTTCGACTGCGAGAAAAAAGAACGAATATTCTTCTATCTCCAAATATTTTCGTCTATGCTAGAACCATTAGTTTCCACGGGATTGAAACCGTAACGTGATCTCGACATCAGAATTCCGATAAAGGTAGAAATAAAAGAGTTACAGTAATCGAAAGTAAAGCGACTCTGTGCAAACGAACTATCTTTAAAATTTTAAATCATTTCTCCATGTGAATAGCACATTTTCGGTCTCACTCCTGGAAAACAAAAGTGACTCTCAAAAGGCGAAGTAGCCCAAACGTCAGCCATCGAAAATCGAAGATACATGTTAATAATCGCATGTCGGCTCATCAGAGAAACTTTTGTTTCAACAAAATAACTTATCCACTAATGTCGATAGTTTAAAGTCAATCTTTCGGATTATAGTGGAATCATCACTGAATTGACAGCACACCAATCCTGAGGATCAGTAAACTCGCCACTGAGTAGAATTCAGTGGAGCGTTCTAACAAATACAGCGGCCAAATTACATTTATTAAGTTTTCGCATTTAAGGACGCGCCATAATATTGTAACACACTAACGCGCTTGTTTGTGGAGCAACTTATAGTTAACCCGGTGTTCATTTCATTGAAGAGCTCTCAAAGCCTCAGTTTCGGTTGTCATTAGACGTGGAATTTTCAAGCTTAATAGTCACTGAAGCTCGAGTTAAAGAGTGGCGTAGAAGGGTGAAAAATGATTACTGCACCGATCCTTTAGGGTCTTCCAAAAATCGTTTTCAAAAACGTCACACGTTTGGAAGTGATTCTGAATTTTCACTGAGGAAATCATCGCTGAACAGTTCAGTCGACAATATTCTCTCGTGCTGAGAAACCCTTCTCAGAGTTAGCGATCAAAGCTTCATGTCCGTCGAATGATCGCACATACGTCCCGTAAGCCTGTATTTTCGAGCGTCACTGCATTATGTCGTTTTCTATACCGAACTAAAATGAACAATTTCCCAAATATGACAAACAAAACAATTTTAATAAAATCTAGTCGTCGTTCCCTGAGCGGGTTGGATCCCTTCTTTGTTAGGATAGGGGTTGAAACAAATTCGATGGTTATGGTGAAAGTCTACGACTAATTTTAACCGAAAAGACTTTGAAGGGAAAGGCGATTTTGAAGTGGCAGTCACGATCGTTGCGCAGGTATCAAAAACATCAGCGGGAAATCCTCTTATGAAAGCTTTGGATAACTTTAAGAAATCCAAAAATAAGTCGAAAAGATGGTTTCTTCACAATCACGAGTGAATTGGTACCGCACCTGAGACCGATTTTTTAATCGGAATGGGTACCATCGATCATCCTATGTTAACAGCACGAGCGTACTTCTACTCTTTGGAAAGCGTGGACAGAAGGAAAAACGATGAGCGCTTTTTAGCGCAGTAAAGTTCGTCTACAACCTTTGCGTTAAGAATGTGGAGTGTTCAACTATGCAATAATATTTTCTATATCAGTCCGTATTCGTACATTCGTCTTTGTGCGATCCCGTCTCAGTACGACAACGAAGGCGCCACATCAAGATAACAAACAACTGTGGACCACTGACACGGATAATCGGCCCTGATGAAGACAAAGACGTCGAAACGTTAGCCCAAATAAATCTATTTGTCAAACTCATGTAAGCTCAACAATTTAAATATATGCAGTAATGTGTTTCGTCTCCAGGATCTGAAAAAGAGGAACTCAAAGGAGAATGAAACGTTAGCCATAGGACGCTTACTGGCATCCTCGCATTGATATATCAAGAATGGTTCGCAACGATTTCTAACTATTCATTGTAGAAAGTACATCGCCAGTGCTTCTCTGAGTCAGAAGTTCGTGTTGCTTTTGGATAATGGCGCTCCGACCTGACCACGCCCATTCTTCAGATTTCACATCTGTGACATCACATCGCCAGATGTTTTTCGCGCTGTCGAGTATTGATATTCTAATTGGTTTTAGTGTTCTTCAATATGTGAGCTCAAAGCATGGTCGGGTAAGTTTTATTCCTTTGTCAGTTTCCTGTTTTTATTCAAGCGATCGGCATCAAAAGTTTTTCATAGCAGCATCCGTTCCCGCAGTCTTCTCTAATGTTGTGTATTACGTGGATACTTCGACGGTTGCTCTTCACATGTCGTGCGATCGTAGCAGTTCTATCTTTGTTTCGTTTTATTTCCGCATCATTCTTGGAGCTGTCGTAGGCGGTTCTCAGCGATAGCCATCATAGTCCCATTGTATTCGACGGCGACTTGAAGATCTGATGTCTTCTCTCCTCACATGCAGATTCAACACTTGTGCGAAGCGAATTTCCACGTAGTAGTGATAAGATTGTTCTACGGCGTTCTATGGTTCTCTTCAAAGGCACTCGCTGACCAGTGCGGAGAAAATAGAGCTCTCCTGCCGCTTTGCGTCTAGCTATCCTTCAGGAAGACAAATTGAAGAAATCGCTTGACGGAAACTGAGTTAAGTCAACCGAGCGACCAAGAACTTGACACTGTCCAATCCGAATCCTGGTGATGTTGATTAAAAAGCAAAAACGATATTTTTCAGGCGATGAAGTTCTATGAGAAAACAGGCGAAATTTCCGGCAACATGGAAAGGTAGGTATGCCGACTCGCCGGCCTTTGTTTCACTTTCATCCTCTACAGTGCATGCAAATCCAGTTATTGCAAGCAATCTCTGAGCTTTTGAAAACAATGAGTTCCTCATTTTTTCTCCTCGATCATCCTCATATGTTTATTTTTTCTTCTTAGTCATTTTCATATTTCGTTATTGCATCGCTTTATTATATACAACTTAGATACAACTGAAGATAAAAACAATACAACTTAGAGACGTACGAAAAGCAAGTCTAATGGGAGAGGAAGGAAAGCACTCAAAATTAGTATTATTCAAGTGCTTTTGTTTATTTCAATGGTCGTGATTTGAATAAAATTGTGAGTGTTGAAATTCAAAACAAGAATTTATGATTTCAGATTCAAATTACTGTGTATTGATGTGAGCCAAGAAGCCAGGAAAGCTAACATTCACTGTTTATGGGTTGTTTGTTCTTGGGCATCTGAAGTGCTTCAGTAGAGTCTATGGCCTATTTCATAGATGGAGTGGGAGCATTGGATAACGCGAGACGAAATAATGGGGCTGGCGTGGAAGTTCATGTAAGAAAGAAACAGGAAACTTGTATGATGAAGTTATTCGGCCTTAGCTGACATTTCGTTATCAAAAGTGTGTAGTGAATAGGCTGTTCGACGCTCATTCCATGCTATTTCTTTCTATCACTTTCGTTCATATCTGTCATCTTCATATCATCATTCTCGCCAACATCTGTAAATTGAATGATATAAGCACCATAATGAGGATATATGGGCGCTTCATTAGTTTGAAATTAAAACACTATGAATAAGGAAGTGAGGAAGGTGACCCGCCGATTTGCTTCAGATTAAATAGATGGTTGCTCCTCTGTCGGCGAAATCAACTCCCTGAGGATTCGCTTTCGCTTTACGAGAGCGAGCAGTTCATCTTCGAGATGGATACGATTGTCTGCAGCAAACATCCAAGTTGTCTTCAGGGATTCTTTACCCTTCCGTTGCATCTCGTTATTCTTTTACTTTTCATGCAACTCTAACACACTTCAAATCGAATTGAGCTATATTCGCCGCTCTAAATGTATTCCTCATCTTGACAATGTCTCTCATGAGGAAATCGGATGTGTTCGTAACTGAATGTTTAATGAAGCGTGCGATAAATACAAGCCCAACGATGCTGAAATATAATTTAGGTTCAGAACCATAGGTGGGCTTTCAACCGGCGATTACGCTTGCCGGAAGCTCAACTCTGCTTAATTAGATTCTATTCCGATTTGTGCTCCCCAGATCATTCCCCTTGACGGGTAATTGCTGATAGTATCGATGGAGTAAAAAATTACCTGAGAGCAAGGCAAAGCAGTGTCCTCGGTTGGTGTGGCAGACAGCACGTGAACCCTCAGCAAGGGTAGTGGCGAATTCGAAGCCCACCGCAGGTTCCGAGTTTTGCTCATATCTCAGCATCCTTAACAGCGTGCATGGTGTAGTGGTGGAAGGGGCCCTGAAACACGCATAGGGCATCGATCGCCGCGCTTGTGGCTCACCAAGCTTTCCATCCCTTCGGGGTCGGCAAATTGGTACCAGAGTTTTTTAGGAGGATAGCAGCACTGGTTTGATAGATCGGTAGACCACTGCAAGTCATTTTAAAGGCCAGATATGCATTCAATCACCTCCAACGACACTTAATGAAGTCGAATGGATGGCGCAACCTCAGGGATTGATCAACTCCGATAGCTTTATCCTTTTTTTATGTGGACCAGTGCAATGGAAAGATAACCGCTAACTCATCGTCCATCGCCTGTCATGGCGTGTCGCCATGAACACTGCGAAACAATTTGTGCTTAGGAGAAACGAAACTGACATTAGCCAATAGACAAATACGAATTTGAAAAGATTTCATGACCAAGGTCTTTCTTCAGGACTTTTATGATTCTGCAATCGATTGTTACAGTTGGCATGATAATATAAAGTTTTACCAGCTTGGAAATCGTTCTACTAAAATTTCTTGGTGGTCTATGGAAAACATGGCAGATGTAGCTCGTATTCCTCTAGTAGTTGGATCGAAATCTGATAGAGAAGAGGCCTTTAGTCCAGTAATGTTAAGAAACACTCCAGACACTCGTACCATTGTCTTCCCTGGATGATCCAGTCGAAGAGCTTCATTCCGTAGGAGACAGTTTTTAGGAAACAATGATGCTGCTCGAATGCAGTAATGAGCCTGCAGTAGTACGGGGTCTTCCGTTTACATAAAAAAAAGTGTTCGGAAACTAGGAAACTTGCTTACGGTGTAGCAGAAAACATTTCTGTCGGTCGATCGACGAAGTATCAGATTCATTTTCAGTGGTTCCAATGATTATAATAAGAAGTATGAGAAGAATATCAGTGAGCTGCTCGACAGGTTGATAGCCAGTCATGACAGGAGAATTCGCCCGAATTACGGAGGTATATATGCATTTTTCGTACTCAACACTACGTCGTTTCCGATGTATACTGAGAATTGATAAAAAGTGAGTAGGTGTTAAAGTGATACAAAGTAAATGAAGGAAGTGAGAAAATATGAAAGTCCGCAAACTAAAAGTCATGGAAAAAAATGTCTAAATAGAGGGCGCGTATAGCGCAGTGGTATAAACTCCCTGCAATACACTTAGGTTCAATCGCGCACCCCGGGCTTAGCGAGCCATTTATTCGTCCGGGGTCTACAAACTGGTACCGGACTTTTCTGTGAGGGTGGAAGCACTGCCTCGACACATCGTTAGGCTACTCCGAGTCATTGTATAAGCTAGATTTGCATTCCATCACCTCTAACGATGCTTAATGAAATCGAATGTATGGCACACCAATTAGGGATTGATCACCGCCGAGAACTTTATCCTTTATTTATCCTTCTAAGTAGAGCTCTGGAGGCGGGGAGGTGGGGGTAGCGCAGTAGTTAGTGATGCAGTCCATCACATCATAAAGCAAGGTGCGGCTTCAACAGCAGCTTCACGCTCCTCAACGTTCGCCTCCAACCAACCTGGAAGCGCCTTACATGGCTATCCTCATGATTGCAAGGAAAATCGACCGAACGATATTCATAAAAAAGAAGAAGTCTTCAAGTACAGCCCAAACAACACGCGAGGTGTTCGGAGACTTTGGTGTACGATAAATACGAAGAAAACGAACCGAGTACAAGAAGTGCTGAAATCTACAAAATAGATATGATAACGGGTCGTATGATATAGACAAATGACATTCTTACGGTCTTTATATCCCAACCGTCCTTTATAGAAAGTTCGTATTTATTGCAAAGCGACCCTAATCTTAGCCAACTAGTTGCAACGGATTCGTACTGCAACACCGAATCAGGCCTATATTCGATTGAAACTGCAGAACTGCACCGATGTTTTGGTGAGATGGATTACACGGAAGAGAATTTTCACCCCTTCACCCGGAAAGGATTTCACCGCTATACATCTAGCAACGGGTGGATCGAGTCCAACACAGCACAACGGAAGAATTCACCTTATATTGAAACAAATCTAAATGGGAGAAAATGAACGAAATGAGTAGGCTTAAAGTACTCAGCAAAGTTGTACAAGGGCAAGGAATGTGCCGCTTGTCGATTCCACAAATTATCTCATTCGAAGACTGGAGAAAATCATATGGGTTGTTTCCATTGACAAGTCATTGCGTTCTCCTGAAGCGTCATCTGGCTCCAAAATTTCCATCTCCGTCTGGCAACTGTTGGTAATTAAGTGCTCCATTACATAATTTCGGAAGACGAGCATTTGGGCTAGACGTGTCAGTCTATGGGAACGGCATCGTCAGAGCAATGGCCAACTGCATTCTGCCGGATGCCGAATGGAACTCAGACCTACATCCAATCCGCTTTCGGAGTTGTTCACTACTTTCTCTCCGAGAAGTATTAAACCTAGACGATTTCATAGAATTCATTTTTGTTGTCCAAAACCACTTGGTAATGTGCCCCATAAATGGTTTGAATGAATAGATATATTACAAACATAATATAGAAAAACCATAAGCAGGTGTTTTAGGGCCGCCAATTGAAGTGAACATCACAGCACACATCACAACAATCAGTTCGATTACGGAAGTGTCAATGGTAAGCGGCTAGGAGTTGCAAGATGTTCAAAGCAAATTTTGCAAACCCATCCTAATTCGCGATATGACGTCAGTTACCCTACCAAGTCTTCAAAAATTCTTAATTTTGGAAATTTCCAGCGGAGCTTGTTTTGTAAAGACAGATGTTTTCTGGAAAGTTTTCGCTCTTGGAGGTTTTCCTCAATAGCACGTAATTAACGCCACGGGCAATAGTGACAAGCTTATACAATAAGAAGCATTGTGTGGTGGCCATTCCAAAAATGTGACATGCTATTACAGTAAAATCACTTTATTGACGTAGATATATTGCTCATTTCGATGTATTTTAAAATCTGAGGTTTTCACAGTTTATTCCAGCTCTTTCACACTTTCGATTTAAACACGTACGCAGATCTGGAGATGTTCCCACCATCACCTATCACAATTCTGTTTGTGCAGCTTTCTATAAATGACAAATTGAATGCCTTGATTCTGCATGTGTTCCCTACATGGGCGAAATGAGACCCTCTCTCTGACACCTAGACGGGGTATCAGAATGCAAGTTCTTTCTAGGTATTTCTAGATTAATGGCAATACCTATGGAAAATTTCGACGAGCAGTCTGATCGTGTGCAGTTTTTGTTGTCCATCTGAAGATGTGTTCTCGGCAACAGATGAGCAAACAGTTATTTGTTTGTTGGAAAAGCTTGAGACCAAGAAGGACTTTACTATTCTATGCTTTTCTGGCGGCTTTCGATTATCTCCAGCTCACGAAGCGCAATTTCTTCGTCGAGGGTCGTAAGTCTAACAGTGCGTGAAGAAACGATCGGACAAACGGGATTCCGTCAAGCAAAACACCTTGGTGCTCCACAATTTTTCGCTGTTCTTTACGGTTGCCTCTTTCCATGGTAATCGTACCTATATGGAATAAAGGGACTTGAAAAATACCAGTATTTACTTCATATATGCGGTACTCCAGATAGCTGTACCGCAACAATGCTTGTAGGATGGTCGAGTTGTTGCTTTCGCCTCACATAAGAGTTTGAAATATTGCAAAAGCTTAACGGGATGGATGGTAGAACTTAAAAGATAAGTAAGAAACAATAATCAATAATAGAACGAACAAGTGCAGAGCAAAATGAATTAGAGCCGCAACTAAAACGAGAAGGACGGGTCATTTGATGGTGCGACAAATAAACCGGCTTGACTTGATATCACATCTTAGCGAGTGCTTCGGATGCGTTAACATAAGGAGTCAACGTTCCGATTTAAGCATTATTTAGTTGCATGCTAAACTTCGTTAATTGTCTTGGTGTGAACACTCGTTCAGGACTATACCCTCGATCTATATTTACGCCAGATATGGAAAGACCCGCGGCTTGCGTGGGAAAGCGACGTGCAGTCATCGCTGACTATAGGTGAGTTTTTTATGCCTGATTTACTTAACGTTATTTTTGGCTTAGTCATCCTATGGCTATAATATTCTGAAAAATAAATAGACTTTGGAGAAGGAACAATTGAGAAGCAGCTGGATACCGAATATTTCCTATGTGAACTCAGAGTTCGCTGATAAGCTTAAAACAACTGCTCTACTCAGAAAATGGTTTTGGGTCTACTCACGATAGGACTCGCAGTCTCCTACCTGTTTGTTGTGCTTAATATGGACAGGTCGTTCGCATGGTCTCAGAAGTGTTTGTGTTCCTGTTTGCGATTCGTCCATCGAATTAACTCGGATCTCCGTTTTATTTGATCTGTTACGAATTATTGAGCGCTAATTCAATATTTTTGTTCGTTTAGGGGCGTGTAGGTACATTCTCGGATGGCCTTGTACGCAGCACAGCACACGGCCTTGAATGCATTACATCACATCTGTTTCCGCTGCGCTTCGTGCACTTTAGTATTAATTTATGGCATTCAGCAGTTCTCATGATTACGTGGTAGCTGTGTCTAAAATAAAAAATTCGTTTCTTTCTGTCTACACTTGAGATATTAATGCTAATAAGGCAGCAATGGCGATAACTTTGCATTACGAAGTCCACCTTTTACCCTGGCATCGCCCGTACCATCAGTCGTCCCGTTAATGGTCAGGTGACTCGAGTAGGTACCAATAAATTTTCCATTTATTCCTGTTGCGTGCAAGGGTATCTGAATTGGTTTTGCTCGCTCCAGAAACTCGCTGAGCATCATATTTTCTTTCAGAGTTTTGTGAACAACACTGACCATCTGAACGGTGGTCTTCCAGTTGTGCCTCTGATATCCCGAGGAATCGATTCGCTAACGGCTCTTGTCCATTGGTTACCGTTCAGGCCAGTTGCTTGCCTGACCCAGATTATTTTCGCCAATTTGGCATATAGAAGGGCGTATTTGATTTTTGATTGCTAACCAAGGTTCGGATCCCGTCTTCCATTTACATGGCAGGAATACTTCCAGCATCGCATTCTCACATTCTCATTCATTGCGTTGCCCTTTATTAACGATGAAATAAGTGTATCGATAAAGCGATGCTTTAGAAGGGCAGATTTAGAGGAATCGGTAGTGGTACTTGAAATACCATCGGATACTTTACGTCGTCATTTAGTTCATAACCGCCTGTATGACCGTCTATGTGAAACAACAAATTGCGTAATTTGTCCTTACGGCAGGGACGGTGATTGCATGAGTTCAGGTACGATATACCTGATCTCTTGTAGTATCCTCGGAGACGAATCTATTGCTAAAAAGGGCTGAACTTTATGTATCCGTGTAAAGGAGCACCTATATGGTAAACAAAAAGTAAGACAAGGTACACTACCAGGAACGCATAGGATATAAAGCATAGCGGAGACGATTTTGAAGTAAAAGTCAATATCCTCGCACAAAATCTCAAAACACTAACGCGCAAACTTCTCGAGGCCTTTTGGATAAATGCCAAGAACCCGAGAATGAATAGCAGGGAAGAATTCCTAGGGATAACGCGTGGTCTAGCCCCGTATCTTAGAATTGATTTTTGTGGGGTGGTGCAGTCATCAACATATGCGACTATGAACGGCTGTTCTTCTTCGATGAAGGGCTGATAAAAACGATGAAGTTTTCGAGGAACCGCTGATCGTGTAATTATCCTTGAGATTTTCATCTCTCTGTTTGTGCTGTTGAAGCGTATGACCTAGCAAGCTGCGTATCAGTGTACTCTTCCAGGCTCTGAAGAAGGCGATACTCAACTACCGTTGTGTTGTATGTGTTCTATGTGTGCGGAGGTAAACGTGTGCTGAATAACAACCTTGCGATTGCTGAAAAAGAGTAGTGATCTTCCATCTCCCTTATTTAGCAACAAAGTTTCCGACGCTATGTTGACGTAGGAAGAATGACGGAGTCGAAAACATGGCACCGATTTATGTGTTCCTATTCCTCTTCAATAATTCCTCGATGTTCCTGAAAGGTCCTCAAGCGGTTCATTTCGTCTTGCTTAAATATGGAGCTAATTCGTTCATCATGTTGACTTCCTGACCTAGACAGACGTAGCTGGAGCATTTGGAGAAATTCATTTCGTTGAGCATGGATAGGGCATACTTAACCAATCCGTTCTTCACGAAGACCATTTTTGTGAGATTTGGTCAAAGAACAGTCCTTCCACAAGCGTTATCAAAGTCGATTGGCATTCGTTCCGCCTGGCTAATGCTTGATGTTATAAGAACGATGTCATCAGCAAAGGGAAGATGGTGTAATTTCCGACCATCGATTTTCACCTCATGTTGTCCCGTTCCAATGTTCGCATGATGTTCTGGAGGGTGGCAGTAAATAATTTTAACTAGAGAGTATCGTCTTGTCCAATCCAATAGAGGGGTATTTATAATGGTGATAATTCCGTTATGGTGATGTTCTGCTTGTGAAATTCGTACATAGCCCACGAAGAACCCTTATGTGCGGACTAGGGACACACTGAATGCCTACAGCTTCCATACACTTGTCTCAACCGAGTCGGTATATATATATATATATATATGTGTGTATATGCATATGCATATGTACATATATGTGTATAGAAAAGGATAAAGGATAAAGTTCTCGGCGTTGATCAATCTCTGAGGGATACGCCATGCATTCGACTTCATTAAGCATCGTTTGGAGGTTACTGAATGTATATCTGGCCTTTACAATGATTCGCGGTGGCCTACTGATGTATCGAGTCAGTGCTGGTATCCTCACAAAACTGGTACCAATTGTCGACCCCAGAGAGGTGGAAGGCTTGATGGGTCATGGAGCGGGGATCGATTCTACGTGTGTTGCAGGCCCCCCCGACCACTGCACTGCATGCGCCCCTATATGTATATATATAGATGAATATATATATGTTCTTATGAGCTGCCACTGTTGTCCTCTGAGTATTGAGTCGACTGAGTTCTTCAAGTTGATGAATACTGTCGCGGTAATCCAATAAGTATAATTATCGTGTGGATGTGTGCCAACGTGCTGAATCCTTTTCGTAGCCTTGCTTGCTCACACTGCCGTCCTTTATTCAGTATTCTGTAAATCCTGTTTGAGAGGCAGCAAGCAGATTGGACAACAGTTGCCGATATCGTGGAAGTCATGCTTTTTGGACAATATTACAGTCTTACTGGTCTTCCATTGAATAGGAACTGGCGGATGGTTCTTCAAGTGTTCAGATCTTGTCCTGTCTGAACATCGTGTTGTTTGATTCTTCGCCGATGTAATAGCATGTCGGATTTCACAACGGAGAACGGTGGGACGTTATATCCATCTTCGTTTATTTCATATGAAGGCAAGACAACGTGAATATTGAAGAGATCCGAGTAGTAATCGCGAATGAGTTTCTTCATTGCGTTTATGGAGACTGTAATTCTTCCGCCTAGTCATCTTCGATTTTTTGTTGGGGTAGTTTCGGTCGGTGTTGCGAATGCTCTTTCCATCCGCCATAGCTTTAGTTAAAACAGCTCCTCTTCTCTCCTTAAGATCTTCCTTTATGACATCTGTGCAGAAACTTGCAGGTTCGGACGTGAATCGTTTGCCTACCACTTGAGTAATTATATTGTGGCATGTTAACCCAAGTGCTTCTGGGGACAGGTGTTCTTTACGACTTTCGACCTCTCTGTTTTCATAAGGCTAACGATGTTGAATAACCCAGTCGTATTCTTCGTCGATTTTGATAGTACAGAAATCCTGTCAAACCTTGGAAAATGATCTGAATAAATCCCGATTCACGGTGGTTTTAAGGATTCGTTTCTCGAACTTCGCAACTTCCTCATCTTTCCGCCAAAAATGAAATCTTGTGCGAATAAAGCAGTTTTCGATTCGGTGTAATATTTTTAAATAGCGGTGTCATCGGCTAGGGAAAGGCATTGATTTACTGTGATGTGGTCTATTTCGTTATGGTACTGTCCACAGGGAGGCTCCCACGTTCAGGTTGAGAATTGCAAGTTACCATGTGATCTCGGTCGTCATGATAAACTCAGACAGCAGCTCATCCTGTTCGTTCCATTCTAAACCGTGGGTCCCAAGGTGACGTTCCTCAATTCTCCTGCGTCCTATCTTAGCGTTAAAATTCCCAGTGATAACCCTAACGATTGTGTGGTATTCTCTGAAGAACTTGTCCAGCTCCGTATAGAACACTTCGACTTCGTCTTCACCATAGCCCTATGTCGGTGTGTAGTTGTTCGAATGGATCGAATACATCGCCAAACTCGTGTTGACGAGAATGCCGACGCCGCCGACTCCTCTGTTGTCACATACTGCGAGGAAGTTTTTCTGCGGTACCATAGATCGCGTTAAGTGGACGGTGTCTTTTAGTCTTAGCTAGTCCATCGACATCGTATTTAACCTTTTTGGTCTGGATCGCTAGGTCCTCAATAGTGCACTAAGATACAAGTGAACTTCATCTCATTCCTCTATTGTGCACCATAGCTAGGTATCGCCTCTTTAGTCCTCACAGATTTAGCTCTGAGATTTTAACAGCTTTGCCGTAGTCGTATTACCCAACGCTATTTTGTCGTGACTCTTTAGAGGTCAAGGAGATGATGGTCACTTATATCACTTTGTTAAGCATTCGATATCCGCGAATAGCTTGCTGTCTATGAACATGGTGGCCGAGTATACTCACGAGTAGTTTACCTGTCTCTCCCAAGGTGGACAGGGAGCTTATTTGCTGGAGGCGATTTCTAACCGCCTTTCATAAACTTCCCTGTCACTTGTTTGCAGGCCTTTGGGTCAATTGACTCGTAGAATACAATCCGCATAAATGAGAATGCACCCACCCACATTCATGAATACGGATTCGTAAACACAGAAGCTGTCTCAAATCAGTTCAACAGAGGCACGGAGTTCACTGAATCCACCTGCGTCTCAGCCGAAGGTCACGTATGGTCCCCATTTGACACCTCACCCACGACTTGTGAACGCAAGCCCGGCGACTAACCCACTCATGATCCTTCAATGAAGGAGATCTACGGTACCTTAGCATAAGAAACACGAATTTCTGTTTCCTCATTTTATTACTTCAGTGACTTGTAGCTGATCCAACGCTTGTTTTTGTGACAGAAACCATTTTATGTTGTCTCAGTGTGTAGCAGTTAGTTCAGTAAAGAGAATTTTGAGAGACATATCTAAACAAATACGACATTACTTGCTATTCATGATTGACGCAACTCCCAGTTTTACTCTAATTAGTCTAATTTAATCTATTCGGAATACTTAAACATTAAGGAGTCGACATGGTAAAATCGATTTGGACTCCCGACACCTTCTTTCCAAATGAGAAGAAGTCGTTTTTCCATGAGGCCACCTCACACAACTCATTCTTACGGATTGACAATCAAGGAAACGTTCTTCGAAGTGTTCGCCTTACCGTAACCGCAGATTGCCCAATGAATTTGCAAACGGTCAGTTAAATATAGAAGCGAGAACCAGCTGAGACAGGCGAAACGAAGGACCCGCATGGTGTGGTGGTGAACGCGTTACTCACCGGAAAGGACAATAGCGCGTTCGGTCCCGCCGCAGACACCTGCGATCCGGAATTTTGCAAATATCACAGAATCATTGTGGTTATTTCACAAGTAATATGCTGCCGTGAAAACCTGTAAAAGGCATTAAATAAAAAGTCATCATAGTTAAATACGGCGTTTCTATTCTGGATGGCTAGTTTATTTACCCATGACTTTACCCTGCAAAACCTAGCATGAAAAGGATAGTTCCTGCGATGAATTACTGCATGAACGTTCAAAATACTAATGATAGATGCGAAGAAATCAAACTAGTCAAACTGAATAGTTCAAGTTTGCGTCAGTTTTGTGTTCTCTCTCAAAATCGAAAACCTATATGATTCCAAGTAATAGTTATTTACCATGGCTTTCAACAGTATTTGGAAACATTCGCAGCGCAGATGATATTTGCCTGAAAGTACTCATCTTTCCAGTTTAAGTAACCCTTGTGAACCAAGTAATGCAGAACTTCTTGACGTTGCATATTTGTGTTGGAGGCGCTCATTCTTTGGTCTCATTAGAAAGCGGTGTGTGGTGCTTGCATCAAACGAATCGCACAGTCCAGACGTGTGGATTGCCAAGCTGACAGTAGGATCTTCCAGAGCATGCCAACTGGCGGAACATTAGACCGGAGTTCACATCGCCCTTTTCCCAGTCTGATCCTACAAGTCAATGTTCAAATCAGCTACGTACTCATGTTTATAAACTGGCCTTTATTTCTCCTGATTTAAACGCTGTTTTCATGCTCCTATGCGATTTGCTAACAAACTCTCTCGCTAAAATTATTTAGTGCCACCCTCCAGAACATCACGCGAACATTGGAACGGGTTAACCACGGTGTTAACCAATGTGTTAGTCATATATTTTCAAGAGAAAATAAGGAAGATGGCTTTAAAGCGATATAATTCTGATCCACTTTCTATATCTACCGATTAATTGCCGTTAATGATTACAGTTCCCACTGGACATCCAGGAATGCTCACTAGAAATCGAGGTAGGCATTTCATTCTTTAATCAATAATTTCGATAAGTTCTTTTTTTAAATCAATCGGAGTCTCCTTGTCTTTTGCATATTTTCCAGAATTATTTATGAAAGAAAATGATGGATCTCCATCCGTTGTCAATTTTCCGCACCTTGGTGCGATAACAAGTCTCGATTATGTCAGGGGTCTTGTTTCAATTGTTACCAGGCTACGTGCCTAGCCTCCAAGTGATGGACAAGTGGAGGTTTAAATGCGGATCACGAACCACCTACCCCAAAATGGATCTGGATTCAGGCGATTGATTATTTTAGTTAGCCGTTCCCCTGCTCTTCTTTGCTCTCGTAATTTCCACAATTTTGCAACTTACCCATGTATTCCTGTGTAGGTGTGCTTGTGCATGTGTATTTCGCATTCTCCGCATTGATTTCGTCGAAGAAATTCCAATTGAGCAACGCGTAAATACCTGAGATACGGTTCAGAGTTTCTCCGTTCTTTGTCCTCTCTGGGAGCGCACGGCATCCCGTAAGAATAGCCGCTATCTCAGTAAAACATGGCTAAAATCTCGGCTAATTCTTAATCTGGCAAAAATTCTGTGGTACGTTAACAGCAATGATGATGTGCAGGGATCGAAATCTACGAGTGCAGACTGGATGACACAGGCTAAGAAATGAGATACGACGTTATCGGTCTAACGAAAATGAGAAGACACATCCGGTTCATTCCATTTATGATACTTAGAAATTGTTTCTGTGAACACGTGGCAGTGAATAAATGAAGAGGAATAGGAATTTCTGTGTTGGTCCACATGAACTTGAATTTTAACACCGGTCGCTTTATACTAGTACTTTCTGAACATTCACGGTCAAAATGATGTGGAGCAATGCTGGATCTGACAGTCTTCATCGCATATGCCTCAACATCAAATTACGACGACGAAGACATCAAAGCATTTTATATGGATTTGGAGATCTTTCACAGGAAAGATTATATCATCTACAAAGTTATCATCGGCAGCATCAACATCAAAGTCGCACGGGAAGGACGTATAAAGGGTGTGTCGAATTACTTCATAAGTACAAGATTCTTCCACCTTCATCAACTTGAAGAACGCTGATATCTTTGAAACAGAAGCATTGTGAGACAAAACAATAGCATATTTTTTTTTGATGCCCCAGGACTCCTCATGAGCTATGCCATTCTGAAGTGACATCGTCACCGACGCGTGGAAAGGAAGCGATGAAGCGACTCCATCTCACCGAAATTATTCAGTTTTCTATTGTTTTCCCGGCAAAGCTATGTCAGAAATTCTGCGAAGCTCTGCCATTGGCAAAATAGCCATTTGCCAAAATAGCCAAAATAGCCAAAATAGCCAAATAGCCTATTTTGAAAGGTGGCGTAGTGATGCGACAAGTGAGCGAAATAACAGAACAAAGACACTAAGGACGTGGCACAGCCGTTCTGGGGAAATCGTTGTTCGTTTAGAGCTATGGCTACTCGACGCGGGATATCATCTACCACTGGAACGGTCGCAGGGCCGTTATCATCGACGAGAACGTGTATCTGGCCCACTTCTCGATTGCTGACCACCATTATGTGGAACGCATCATATCGTTAAGTACAGGTACAGGTGATGTGAAAAATTTCCATGACGTTTTTACGGTTTCTTCTAAAGTTGCTTTTTTTATCCGAAGAGTAGTGTTAATTTGTACGTATGTGTACTGTCTCATATATCGTATGCCGGTATTTTACAGTGAACAAAAATCCGTAGAAAACACAAACTGCTGAACTTCTGTTATTATCGCTGTATCGCAGCTGTAGACGGTACCGAATATTTTCCGATTCAGGAGAGCGATGAGGAAATGGGTAGAGTTGACTTAGCAAAAAAGCCAATGGACCTCGAATTCGACATCGCCGAAATCTAGTGCAGATTATTCTCTCCGCGCTGAGTCTAGTGGTGGTTGGGGCTCGTGTGGCGTAATGATCGGAGGCACCCTGCAACACACACATGGGATCGATTCCCACGCCCGTGGCTCATCAAACCCTCCATCTTTTCGGGGTCGGAAAATTGGTCTCAGAGTTATCTGGGAGGATAATAGCACTGGCTCGATACATCGGTAGGCCACCGCGAGTCATTGTAAAGGCCAGATATGCATTCATTCACCTGCAACGATACTTAATGAAGTCGAATGCATGGCGCGTTCCTTAGGAATTGATCAATGCCGAGCGCTTTATCCTTCTATCCTTTACGTTGTGTAACCAATGCTTTCAGAAGGAACAGAAGGATTCGTTTCTGTATTGCCTATAAATATATTTCTAAACGGATTGGCATCTCATTGTTCACCGCGCAACACCAATTTTCATTGCCTACAATTTGTCGCCCTCTTCAAGAATGATCGACATCCTAAGCCATCAAAATCAAAAATTGGTCACCGTTCCTCTACTTTTTATGGAATCCCACGCCAGAGATTTCAACAAAATAAAATCTGATCTTCTCTGAGCTAAATCCGAAAATTCCCACTCGAACATAGTCCATCAACTTCCATGACTGGTTTCAAACCCTCCTCATCACAACAATGTGCCTAAAAGACCTAGTCGCCATTTTCAGACGTTTTACATTTAATATCTGAGCGGGCGAGTAAGATAACAGATGGATCATTTAATTTCTTTAGATTGTTCAGCTTACAGGAGGTTGTTATAGAAGTTTTATTTGGCTAACGTTTCGACGTCTTCTCCATCATTTGAATGGATTATTTTTCAAAAATTCCAAGTAGCTTCGAATAAATGAAGCCTACAAGATAGAGTATCGTTTGTGTTATAAAATGACAAAAACAAACCAGGAGCCAGATCAAAAATACAAAGGTGTCCTTCCTTTTTCAGGGAACTACTCACGTCTCTCCGCCTACTTTACATTCAAGCGAAACATTGGTTTCTACCTGATCCAAATCTATTTGCCTTCATCGTTGATCGTCGTGATCTCTTGGGTGTCGTTTTGGCTGAACAGAGAAGCCGTTCAGGCTAGGGTGGCTATCGGTACGTGAAATTCAACGATCGACGTTCCGTTTTTCGACAGTGATCCTGAAAGAATCTGAAAGCTATGAAGTACCACAAGCTGGATGATTTCTTTTGAAAACATCAATGTGATGCTCTGGAATCACGGTTTTGACAGATACAAAATCCTAATTAGCAAGAAAAATTTTCTTCAGAGGAAAAATTTATCTGGATTCCCATAGTTTGTGAGCATCCATGTAACTGACCGGTAACTAAACTCCCATTCGCAAATATGTAAATTTTTGGCCATAATTTTGACGCCCATCTAAATCAGAGAACTGTACTTTATTAGTACTTACCTACTCGTTACTTGAACGGCCCCTCCTCACTGGCTCTGCGGGCCTCAGTATAATCTCTACTTTTCGGAGATTTGCTGGTTAAGCTATTGTGGTTCCCTGGAATCCCGAGGACAACCTGGCCAAAGTCTGCCCCAGGTCGTCATCACGACAAGCGGTCGCAGCCCTTGTGGATCAGAGGTAGATTTACCACCATGCGACTTTGATACCAAGACGGTGGTGGTTCCTGGTATTGCCGTCGGACCCCTTCTCTGCTTGGGAGGCTCTGCCGGGGAGACGAATTCCCCCGCTGTACATAGCAGTCCGACACCCAGGAACACCTCCCAGTCATAATGAGGCAGTAAATCATTGAGAGGGGGCTCTTCATTGATAGTTGCGAGTTTAACCGTATTTTTCAAAATCCATACGTAAAGTTACAACGAGAAAACTTGTTAGACCTAACATATGTGGTACTTCTGATCCTTTACAAGGAAATATTAAGGTAGTTCTGGAGAAGCGAGTTTCAGTATCATCAATAACAAAACGGTTTTATTAAGGAGTGACAACAGTGCTAACGATGACTACTCTCATGACGAGCACCAACGCCACTTTGCCAAAGGTGAAAGTTCTCAAGTACTTGGAAACAGATAGATTCCATTTACACGACATAGTCATCCTTCGATTCATCGACTTCAATGTGACGCAGAAGGGCTTGGTTGATATGGCGTGAGCGTAGAATCTTGGACTTTGGATACGAACTGTTAACCTATTGCAATGCGCTACACTTAGCGTCTTGCAGAAATTAAATTCACGCATTTACAAAACCTTGGTATCACTGAGTAAGACCCTGCAACAGTATCCAAAACATTGCTACTCGGCAGGTCTTTAAGGGGAATATTTTTAGTGCACCTCTCGACCTCACCTAAATATACCTACCCAAGGACAGTTGTTCTTAGTGTCAGTTATAAATTAATCTCTCTCCACCTCCCTACCATGCTTCAATCACAGACGCCTTATTTTAAAATTTCTATATTTAGAAAAAATTTCATGTTCTCTGCGTTGTTTAGAGCAATCCGTTTCGATCAGGGGCACTATTGTAACGTGGTTAACTACCACATAGGATTAGTCCATTCGGAAAATTTTTCTCTCAGCGATCCTATCAATGAGAGCAGGCAGAATAGTGTTCTTTTAAGGTGAGCTATGTGAAAAGCCTCGACATCTACCTAGGAATATGCTTCTTCATTGGTGAGTTTTATAAGTCCACTATTTTCAGACAGACGAAATTGTTTTATGTTTTGGAACGATTAGCCGCTAGAACCATAAACGTACTGATAGCACCTATAAAACACGGCTGAAGGAAAGCCGAAACGATGTACCCGCATGGTATGGGGTAAACACGTTAGTCCCAGGAAAAGATAATAACGAGTTCGATCTCCACCGCAGACACTTGCGGTCCGGAGCTTTGTAAATATCTCAGTATCAATATGGTTGTATTTCACAGAATAGGCAGTAAACAAAAAGCACTGCATAAACATACTATTTTTCGAGCTTCGTGAAAATCACGGTCAGAAACCAAGTGTGCTTTTAGAATTTCCCCTTATACAGTAAAAATAAGAAGGGAGAGCTCTTAAACTTACACCTTGAGGTGTATCAAGTCTCCTTATCAGATTATTTTAAGAGTTAGGAAACATTACACAAGGAAAATGTGTTTATCTAATTATCCTGTTAAGTCAGTAAAGTTGGTAATGAAGAAATGTCTCCAAAATTTTCTCTTTAAACATTTCTTTGATGCGTCTGAATTGAAACTCTGACTCTTAGTCTTCGCCTCGCTGTTGGAATACGCAGCGATCGGTTATCTGATGAAACAAAAACGTCTGAAAGCCTCGCCCGTGCAGTATCACGAGACCAGCGATGGAGTCCTGGAAAGGGAAGATGCTTGGCGGGACGTTGAAAATGGTCGCGGAAAGCGAGTACAGGTCAGTGGGACTTCGTAATCATTATATTTGAGATGGATGCACCAAACTAATCACAGTGGTCACACGTGAAGCATATTGCCGCATACATGGAAACCCTAAAAACGATGGAGAACGGGACGGTCTTCCGCCTGGTTTTCCACTGTTTTTTTTAAACAATATCATCTATAAAATGCGTGATTGCTGATGGCACTGGTAGATAGAGAACCAGCTGAGAAAAGACGAAACGAAGGACGCGCATGGTGTGGTGGTGAACGCGTTAGCCTCTGGAAAGGGTAATGGCGTGTTCGATCGCTACCGCAGACACCTGCCGACCCGAATTTTCTTGCACATTCACATTGAGTTCAGTTTCAATCTTACAACAGCGCAAAAATCTGGCATGCGACAGGTTCAAGAACGAGTAAACTCAGAATCTATTAGGCTACCAGCTAGTGACAAGGGTAGAGAGTTTCGAGTGATTTTTCGCCAGTTAGTTGTTGAGATAACGGAAAAACATCTCGCTTAGCTTTATCGTGCATCATCTGAAAAAGAATTCAAGGGTTAATATCGAAAACTGAACAACAAATAGGTCAAAATGGCAAGCGCGGTAGTCTTAAAACCATCAGACATTTCGCATCTCAAAATCGAATCACCAACATGTCCCTTCTTGTATTTGCTTATCAAAACTCATAAGTTATTACCCTCTGATGATCAGGTGTTTAGCGACCCCTCACCCTTCAAGATTAGATCCACCATCAGTTGTGTAGATGGGCTTACCAATAGAATAGCTTGGTTTATAAACCTAATTCTCACCCAGTTGCTAAAGCATATACCAGGCCATCTCATGAACACCTAAAGGTTGATTTATCGCCTGCATAACGCGCGTCCTAACAGCGCATACGCTAAAGGGGTCCTTCGACGTTACGGCCCTTTACAGTAATTTGTCGAATGGCTACGCTACACGCCATCTTCTTGTGCAGCACGAAGGAGTAGCAAGCATGTATTCCTTCTCGATTCAGCAGCTCATGGCCCCATAAAGGTTTGCCTAAATTGCTCGGTTTTCAGATGGACCGGGAAATACTACGCACAAATTAGAGGGTTGCCAATGGGTCAGCAACTGGCACCAAGCCTAGCCATCGCCATTATTTCTAACACGGAAGTACCAGCGATTGATCGTCATTACTGTAGTGCAGAAATATAAAGGATTGTTTTCTCATCTGCTCCACACAAGAGGAGATATTCCAAATACTCCACCTGGGGTGCATAGGACATAAAAACATAATGGAAAAGATTTTAAAGTAAAAGTCACTATCCTCGAAATACAACATATCAGCGCGTAAAACTTTAAGCGTTTTGGACCAATTGTAAAAACTCAAAAATGAACCTCAAGGACGAGTGACTCCTGATCACTCCTAGCCTAGCGCTGCATCCTTGCCCGTGTATTACTATGTGATTGCTCTCCACCAGTTAACTGGAATACTTACAAGGAATAAAACAGTGGGTGTTTAAAAGCTGTTCATTATGCCAGTGCAAACTTATGTGTTAAGTTTTATCTGCTAAGGTTATGGAAGAGTTTCGCTCAAAAGATTGCATGTTAATTTGAACCTCCCAAGCTCTAAAAAAGGCGAAACCACCGAAACGTCACCTGTTGCGTGCTAATAAATTCTATACTATCAACCTCGATTTGCTCATTGAAAGAAAACAGTGAAAATAGTAATATTGCTGCGAAAATAAAGCAATTATAGCCAAAATGATGCTGAGATATCCGCAAACCTTAGAAGTCAGGCGAGATCGAACCACGATTACCCTTTCCGGGGCTCGCGTTTTGCACAGGGCACCAATGAATGATCCTCTTGCTTTGCCTTTCAGCTAGTTTTCTACTTAACGGTGTCATCGGCAATCACCGATCCAAGGGGTTGATCTGGGGAGCAAAACCAACTGTAGTTCAAATATGTGTTCATTATATTCTACCACATAAATTCTAATACAAAGTTCTAGATTCGCGTTTCATTTGATCCTTCGTGTAGAACTTTTTTTAATACCGAAATTTGGTTAATTATCTTGTTTCAGATTAAAATTGAACCTCAAATGGATCAAACAATTCCATTGCTATCGGTAGTATCGAGTATTTCGTACACATCGAAGCCAGCGTGGATGAGTATCCGTCCTTCACAGGTCCATATAAGCTGTTAGAATTCCTAGGGAATCTCGGAGAATTTGAAATTCTCTGCCTTTCTACATTTACTTAGGTAGCGCTCTTCATCATGCTAACGGTATAGACGGTCATTCTGTTTTTCTTTTAAAATTTATGGCTGTAAGCCTTTTTGTATCCATTTCATTTGTAGAGATCGAAAATAATTGAGGGACAGCAAATTTTGCCTGGAAAGAAAAAAAAACATTTCTCGAAACGAATTTTTCTTATGGGTCCAAAATTAGTTCTGTGTTGATTTGCGACCTTAAAGTAATGAAATGCTTTCAGGTGGATCTCTTCTCACGATTTGCATTTCCAACGTTCTTTCTTCTCTTTCACCTAGTTTATTGGGGATTCTACCTAAACATCTGAAGGGTTTGCTCATTCCATTCACATTCCTGCTCTTACATTTGGTTGGGCACTATGTGATCAGAAGGGACGGTTTTAACGTTAAGAACTCTACTCAGAAGTTTTGAAAGAACAGGAATTCCTGTGCTCGAAGTCAACTATATAAATAGTCCTTTCTTGTTACCGTGGTTTTCTGAGGAGCACTCTCCTTAAGTATCGTTCACTGAAGATGTTCATACCAAAATATTTCGCAGAGAAAGACCCTTTCCTAATTCATTTCTTCCGGATTTATTTTTTGTTTCCCAAAGTGTTTACGATTTTGATTCAGAGACGACGTTCTACTAAATTTAAATAAATATTCCTGTTTGCCTTATTCATTTCAAGAAAATTATACAAAAATAAAATACCTTACAACGAAAATTCGAAAATCTTTTGAGCAATTCACATGTATCAGCTTCAAGAAACAACCGCAAACAAACTCTTTACGCTTCTGATAACAGTTAAAATAGGGTTGATAATGCACCAAGAAAATCTAGGGTCACCGTGATTGGGGGCATAACAATACCTGAGAGCGCGCTTTCGCTATTAGAATTGGGTCCAAGTTTTGCACCATCACAGCCTATTTCTAAAACGACCCTGCGTAGGATAGCACGCAACCTTTATGAGCTTCAAAATCGACTCCGCTGTCAGGCCAAGCAAGAAACATCAAATAGAGATAAAAATCAAGAGGCGGCGACACTACCACCATCTCCTTTCCCTAAAACGTTTTTTAGACAGCAGGAACCTAACGATGGAGTAGACATAAAATTCTGCATGTTTTCGGATGGCGTTCTCAAGACTCTTACTCACTACTTCTATACAAAGTTTATCTCTAACCTTACAGCCGCACAAAAATGCGGCATGCGGGAAATTAGAGAATTAATAAACTCGAAAACAATAAGATTGTCTGTTAGTGATAAGGGGGGAGAGTTCGTAGTTATCCCTCGCCAGCTGGATGTTGAGATAACAGAGGAACATCTTAGTGATGCTACTCTCTATCGCCCATCCTCTGAAAAGGAATATAAAAGTCAATACCGAAAGCTAAACAATCAATGGGTCAGTGTGGCAAAGGCAGCGGGTTTAAAATCATCGGTTATTTCGCACTTTAAAATCGATAAACCAACATGTCCCGTTCTATACCTACTTATTAAAACACATAAGTTGGTATTACCTGATGACCTTGCGTCAACCAATCCGTCACCATTTAAGGTTAGACCCATCATCAACTGTGTGAACGGGCCAACGGATAGAATAACCTGGTTTCTAACCATAATACTTATCCAGTTGCTTAACCACATTCCAGCACACCTCACAAACGCCAAATGTTTCTAGAACGTCTACGCAACGCATCTCCTAATAATGCGCACGTGATGGTGTCTTTCGATGTTACCGCGTTGTACACCAACGTATCGAATGAATCCGTAATGCAAGCCATCTTCGAACTACTTGTTGAACATGAAGGAAGAATAAATATGCATGGCTTGTCCATCCAGCAGATAATGGCTCTCTTAAAGGAGTGCCTAAACTGCTCGATTTTCAGATGGTCTGGGAAATATTTCGCCCAAATGAGGGGGTTGGCAATGGGACAGCGACTGGCACCAAGCCTTGCCATTGTGTTTATGTCTAAGACAGAAGCCCCTGTTCTAGATCTCCGGCCACTACTCTACTGCAGATATGTAGATGATTGTTTTGTCGTCTTCTCTACCCAGGAGGAGATGGACAAATGCTTTGAATTATTGAACGAGCAGTCCGAGTACATAAAGTTCACCCAGGAGAAACCGAAAAAAAACTGGCTTCCGTTTTTGATTGTTCAAATAAACCTATCAAGTAGCGGTAACCTGACAAAGTGGTATCGAAAGCCAAGTAACAAGAACATCCTTGTTCATTTCCTCTTTTCCCATCCTTCACACACAAAGAAGGCGCTTGTGAGAAACGTGTTTCGGACAGCCACCTCTCTGTGCACAACCAGGGAACTAAAGAAAGAATCGCGCGACTTGGCTCGGCAAATAGCCATCTCCAATGGCTACGAAATAGTAACCCCACGAGATATGTTTAGAAGGAAACCGATGCCCCAAAACGAACGGTTTGGCCGAAACCAAATCCCGTTTATCTTGCCTGGCTATGAAATAGGTGTAGCGATAAAGCGATGCTTGAGGAGGGCAGGTCTAGAGGAACTCTACGTCGTCAGTTAGTTCGTAAGCGCCTGTATGACCGTCTATGTGAAACAACAAATTGCGTAATTTGCCCTTTCGGCAGGGACGGTGATTGCATGAGTTCAGGTACGATATAGCTGATCTCTTGTAATAATTGCGGAGATGAATATATTGGCGAAACGGGCAAATCTATGTGTATCCGTGTAAAAGAACACCTAGATGGCAAACGAAAACTAAGACAAAGTATCTCACTAGGTACGCACAGGATACAAAAGCATAGCGGAGACGATTTTGAAGTAAAAGTCAATATCCTTGCACAGGAGACTAAAACACCAGCACGAATACTTCCTCAGGGTTTTTAGATAAATGCCAAAAACTCTACAATGAATAGCAGGGATGAATACCCAGAGGTCATACGCGACCCGACACCGTATCTTCGCATCAATTTCTGATGTGGGATGGTGCAGTCATCAACCATATGCGACTATCACGACCGACTTTCTATTAACCTCGGCATTGATCAAGTGATTTTGTTCGTATTTTTTTGAGCAAAGTGATAAGGGTGGAGAGTTTGTCGTAATTCCTCATCAGTTAGATATGGAGATAACGCCATCATCGCCCATCACGCCATCATCTGAGAAGGAATTCAAAAGTAAATACCGAAAACTAAACCACGAATGGGCCAAAATGGCAAGGGCTGCTGGTTTGAAACCATCAGTTATCTCTCAACTTAAAGTTGCCTTACCAACATGCCCCGTCTTGTACTTACTTATAAAAACTCATAAGTTAGTATCCAGCGATGATCTTGCGTCAACCGATCCATCACTATTTAAGGTTAGCTGTGTAGACGGGCCAACGGATAGGATAACATGGTTTTTAACCCTAATATTTAACCAGTTGTTGAAACACATTCCAGCCCATCTTACGAATACCCAGATGTTTCTGGATCGTCTACGTACTGCGCAGCCCAACAGCGCGTGCGTGATGGAGTCCTTCGACGTTACCGCCCTTTATACAAACGTGTCGAATGACTCCGCAATGCAAGCCATATTCGAACTCCTTACACAACACGAAGGAGAAATAAACATGTATGGCTTCAGGATAGAGCACCTGATCGCACTCTTAAAGGAATGCTTGAGCTGCTCAATCTTCAGATGGTCTGGAAAGTACTACGCTCAAATAAGAGGGTTGGCAATGGGACAACGACTGGCTCCAAGCCTTGCCATTGCATTTATGTCTAAGGTGGAAGCACCGGTGACTGATTTCGGGCCGCTACTCTACTGTAGGTATGT